TTAAAATGGTATAAAATACCGACAGGTGGTTAGGTAAGACACATATGCAACAGTTAGGTATCTTTATTATGAAACGTTTCGCCTACACAGTAGGCTTCTTCAGTCAAGTACAGAAAAGTTGATAGAAGCAGAAGATACTTGAAGACGATGTAATCAGTCCATCACCCTTAAAGTTTTGAGGTGGTCAGTCCCTCAGTCTGGAGAAGAGCATTGTTCCATAGTATGAAACAATATGGAGACGAAGTGACAGAATGGAGCTTTTTATAGCGCCAAGAGGTGAGACGTAGGCCACTAGTGGCCTACGGCTTGACTGAAGAAGCCTACTGTGTAGGCGAAACGTTTCATAATAAAGATACCTAACTGTTGCATATGTGTCTTACCTAACCACCTGTCGGTATTTTATACCATTTTAATGTTCTATCCTCATAGGGAAGATTTCTGATACATGGGATCATCTTTGTCATCCTCCTTTGTACGTTTTCCAGAGCATTTATATCCATTCTGTAATACGGTGACCAGAACTGAGCAGCATAGTCTAAATGAGGCCTAACCAAGGATATATAGAGTTGAAGAATAACCTGAGGACTTCTATTATTTATACTTCTAGATATGAAGCCAAGAATTCTGTTAGCTTTATTGGGAACACTAATGCACTGTTGTCTTGGTTTTAGATTACTGCTAACCAGAACTCCTAAATCCTTTTCGCAATCGGTAGTATTAAGATCTACATTATTTAGTTTATATGTGGCATGGTTATTTTCCTGTCCAACATTTAGAACTTTGCATTTGTCAATATTAAACTGCATCTGCCACTTCTCCGACCATTGCATCAGTCTATTCAAATCATCCTGGAGTGCTCTAGTGTCCTCATTAGAATGAACTGGACGGCCTATTTTGGAGTCATCAGCAAATTTGCTAATGTCGCTATTTATTCCTCATCTATGTCGTTTATGTAAATTGTGAACAACAACGGGCCCAATACTGACCCCTGAGGAACACCGCTTGTGACGTGCCCCCATTCTGATTTCTCCCCATTTATGTAAACTCTCTGCTGGCTATTTGTCAGCCATGCCTCTACCCAGGAAAAAATTTCTTCTATTCCGTGTGCCTTAAGAAGCTTCCTCAATAGCCTCTGGTGTGGAACTCTATCGAAAGCCTTACTGAAGTCCATATACACAATATCATATTCATTACCATGATCTACCTCCTCAAACACCTAGTGAAAAAAGTTAGTAAATTCGTAAGACAGGAACGCCCCTTTGTAAAATCGTGTTGAGATTCATTAATCAATCTGTGCCTGTCAAGATGGCTACGAATTGCTTCGGCAATTATTGATTCCATAAATTTTCCCACTATGGAGGTAAGGCTTATTGGTCTATAGTTCGAAGCCAAGGACCTGTCACCTGCCTGGTAAATAGGTATTACATGTGCCATTTTCCACTTATCAGGCACTATGCCAGTTTGTAGTGATATGTTAAAAAGATTAGCCAAAGGTATGCTAAGTTCCTCTTTACATTCCTTTAACACCCTTGCAAACAGTTCATCAGGGCCTGGGGATTTGTCAGGTTTTAGTTTCTCTATTTGTCTGAGGACCATGTCACTAGTTACCGCAATCGTACATAGTTTATTATCGTCCTGTTCTACATAATCTATTATTTCAGGAATATCGCTAGTATTTTCCTGGGTGAAAACTGAGAGGAAGTAGGTATTTAGAATTTCACACATATCCTTATCACTGTCAGTGATCTGACCAGAGTTACTCTTAAGTGGGCCAATCTTGTCCCTAATCTTACTTCTGTATCTTACTTCTGGGTTAGTCTTTGAATCCCTTGCGACCTTAGCCTCATAATCCCTTTTTGCTTTTCTTATTCCTTTCTTTCTCTCTTTAATTGAATATATTGATTTCTTAACTGCTCATCCCCTCCTTTGATACACCTATATATGCCTCTCTTTTGACCAATGAGATGTTTTAATCTATTGTTTATCCATTTGGGATCATTTTTGTTAGATCTTATTTCCCTACTCGGAACAAAAGTTGTCTGGGCAGCTAGAACTATGCTCTGAAAAACGTCATATTGGCAACCAACATCGCCTACCTGACCCATAGTCAGGACATCGCAATTTAGCCCACCCAAGTAATTTTTCAGTCCCATGAAGTCGGCCAAGCGAAAATCTGGGACAGAGATTTGATTGCAGTTATCTGAGTAATTCCATATATTGAAACTAAGTGATTTGTGATTACTTTCCCCAAGCTCATCATTAACCTCAAGATTATTAATTAGTGACTTTTTGTTGGCAAGAACCAAGTCAAGCAGATTGTTTCCTCTAGTTCTTTCTGTTCTAAAAAGCAATCCTGAACCGTATCAAGAAAGTCCCTAGACTCAAGATTTCCTGTCACATTGTTCCAATCAATTTGTCTAAAGTTAAAATCTCCCATTATCACAACATTTTCATATCTAGATGCCTTATGAATTTCGTCCCATAACAGCTTATTGCACTCCCTATCAAGGTTTGGGGACCTATAAATCACACCCAAAATTAATTTGTCACGTCCCTCGAGAAACTGTAGCCAAACAGATTCTGTGTTCGTTGTTTCTAATCTTATATCATGTAAGACAACAATTTAAATTTTCTCTGACATACATCGCCACACCACCACCCTTCCTGTTGACCCTATCAGTGTGGAATAGTTTATAACCCTGTATGTTGCATTCAGAAGGCATTTCTCTATCTTTCAGGTTGAACCAGGTCTCTGTTATACCAATAATATCTATATTACCTACACATTAAAGTAATCTTAGCTCATCTATCTTATTTCTTAGACTCCTACTATTTGTATAGTAAACCTTAAGGGAGCTAGTCACTCGTTGCCCTCTACTATCTCTCGTTGTTTGTTGATCAATTGATTTGTCATTACTAGCAACTTTATTTTGAATATTGTCTTTTAAACATATCCTGAGGTATCCCCGTAATAACTGCTGTTTTTAACCCTAATACTGCAATCTGATTGTTTCCCACAAACACCCATACTTCTATAATCTATCAGTTTAAATTCCTAGACAAGTATCAATTACCCTCTCAATTGAATTGGCTAATGCAACCACTCCATCCCCAGAGAGATGAACCCCATCCCTTGCATACATATCACGTTTGCCAAAGAATAGGTCCCAGTTATCAATGAATGGGATTGCAAGTTCATTGCAGTACCTGTTTAGCCAGCAATTTATACCAATTGCCCTAGACATCCATTCATTGCCCACTCCCTTTCTAGGCAAGATGCTACATATGACTGGGATCCCTCCCTTAGACCTAACTACTTTAATGGCTGACCTGTACTTATCCAGCAGCTCCTATCTCCTGCCCTTCCCAATGTCATTACCCCCAGCACTAAGTCAGATAATGGGCTTGTTCCCATTACCTGCCATAATATTATGAGAGGAAGAGGGGCGTCAGGAACATGCTGGCTAGTGCCTGAAGACTAGTAATAATTCGTAGTCAAGGAAATAAGAGATGAGCTTTTTTATAAAGACTATTAGTGAATTCATGTTACCACTAAAAATACAAGATATTTCTGGTGTTCAGAAGTTAGTGGGAGTTAATACAGACGGTGGTTACCTAATTACTGAGTATCAGGCATCACGCTAAACAAATACGTATAAAAGTAATTATTTAAAATTTCAACATAGATTAAAATTCTGGCCGACCTGGCCACAACTCTTCAAGGCATCCACTCGAGAAACGTCGTTCACACGGACATTCATTCTCTTAAATGTCTCCATTGTTAAAACTCCTGAAGGTCTACAGACTCCACTTATAGATTTTAGTTGCGCGAGCGAAATCAAGGAAATAATAAGGTTTGTGGCTACAGTGCAAAACACTGTAAAGTCTTCGCTTCTAGAAATGTCACCGACAGTAATGATGCGAATGTAACCAGCGATATCGTGGATGCCGAACACGAAGGATTGCAATTTGCAGCTCCCAGGGTAAACGAATGTATGGATTCAGAACGTAATGGTAATAAACCCTGAGGAAAGAATGGGCATTGATGAGGTTGTAAATATTTTGTAATAGCTACAACAGAAGGAGCCTTTACCCATCACCACCAGTCCTTCACGGTGAGGTGGACCTAACTTACCAACTCACCATCAAAAATCCTTAATGCCAAAGAGAAGATATATGTCAGGACCCCCGAAAAACAGTAAAAGAGAGAAGAGGAGAGTGAGGATACAACTGTTTCTTTGGTACTATGACGAAAAAGAGTAAAAGGAGAAGAGAAGATTGATAACAATGGCGGGGGCCAGAAAAAAGGTGTCCACTCAAGGAACGTCGCCAACTGTGTTATCCAAAGTGGTAATATAGGCATTATGTAAACACCTGAAGGCCCTGCAGACCACATTTATAGACACTGGTGTCTCTTCCGCCATAGGGAAATCAACATCTATCAATCCACTGTCGGATGCAGGTAATCATTCGCGTGAAGAAATCGTGGATGCGTAAAACTTAGCCAGGACGATTCTAGGTCTCGAGGACTGGTAGGACGTGCAGCTTCCCAGGGATATAAAACACTGGTCGTTTAGTGTAGTAGGAATAAGCACTGAGAGGCAGGGTACTGACGAGCTTGTAAGAATTATGGAAAAATTACGAGAGAATAAGCCTTCCTCGTCGCCACCAGTCGACGACGGTGGGACTGACCTGACTTACAAGTCCACCATCAATAGCTCTGAAAGTCAAAGAGAAGACAAATGTGAGGTTTGCCCAAAGAAAAAGAATAAAATAGAGAATAAGACCTGGCGATGCCAGGACGAAAAACAGCAAAAGATGAAGAGAAGACGACGAGTGACAAGTGAGAACAGTCTTCTGAGGGTTATTTTAATTGTATTATTATTATTATTATTATTATTATTATTATTATTATTATTATTATTATTATTTCAATGTATAGGAGAATTCTGTTTCATGTTTTTTATTCTTTTTACTTCTTGTACAACATAACAGATTTTGGTTACAGAGAGTGTGGGCGAGGAGAATCCAACCTCTTCACCACCAGCTCAACTACCTCCTCCAACTTCAACAACAATAACGACAACAGCAGCGAATCATTACATATATTTGGCCTTCAATCAAAAGTGGAATGAGGGTATTTTATAATTATATATATATATATATATATATATATATATATATATATATATATATATATATATATATATATATATATATATATATATATATAATAGCAATGAAACCACGAAACAAGTGGTATTGAATCATTTACCAAACTGCGGCAGGCCAGGGTTCGACCCCACGACACATTGTCTCGCCTCAAGAGACAGCACAACGTACGTGTCACCTTATCCACTCCGACATCAATCCTAGGATCATGTTGTTTATTGGATCGATGGCGGAGTGGATAAGGCGACACGTACGTTGTGTTGTCTAGTGAGGCTGAACAATGTGTCGTGGGGTCGAATGGTGGCCTGCCGCAGTTTGGTAAATGATTATATATATATATATATATATATATATATATATATATATATATATATATTATATAATATATTAGTGGTATTGATCAATAACATCACTGCATTAGCCAAGGACCCGAACCAATGTTGTACTGGCCCATCTCATGGTGAGCTAGAACCACATGACGTCTTAACCCACAGGGCCGCCCAATCCTACATACATACATTCAATATTATATATAATATTATATATATATATATATATATATATATATATATATATATATATATAGATACAATCGCAGACAGGCGAACTTCATACAAGACAAGCCATGGGGGATGGAAATCTTCAGCTTAAGTGCTTTCACAAGTCATCAGGAGCTTTGCAATGTTGCAAGATTAGCAACAGGAGGAATGAGGGGAAGTTTTGTCATAGTAAGGTAGTGTAGCGACGCCAGCCAGTTCCTGTCACAGAAGACCTTTCAGTTTACTAAAATGTACAATAGTCTTCTCCTCTTGCAGTGCGTCCATGCCCTTCACTGGACTTTTTTTTTTTTTTTTTTTTTTGGAATACAGTTAATATTTTAGTAACCATTACCCTAATTATTAGTCTGTAATTATTGCATTCATCATTCTCATTATAATTATCCTTTCTATATATTATCCTCATTTTAATCATCTTTTTGCAAGAATTATTCACATTTCTCCACAGATTTTATCCTTCGTCTCTCAATTCCTTCCTGCAGATCTGTTCCCTTCAGAGTGGCTGCCTTTATTCTGTTAAAGGGCTGTTGAACCAAGGGATTTGATAAACTCTCCCCTTTGGTTCAAATCTGATTACCTCCCATTCAAGTCTTTTAAAGTTTCCTTGATTCGTTTTCTTGTTTATTTTCAGTTGAACTTTTGTTTGAAGATGATCTTCTTGAAGAACATCAGGTAAGAGTTTTCTGTTACTGATTATTTTGTTTTTACACAGATCAATTTTGCAGACTAAGTTGTTATCCAACCTCAGCTCATTTCAAAGCTCAGCCCTGAGGTATACTACCGCCCTCAGGGATGCCACCCACAATAGGTACCTTTTTACTGCTAGGTGAACAGGGGCAACAGGCGAAAGGAAACATACCCTGTTTCCACCTGTGTCGGAGATCGAACCACGGACACTCGTGTGTGTGAGCCGAGTATGTTACCAACCTAGCCAAGGGACATATTAAATTGGTGATATTAGTTAACTCTTCATGGCATTATAATATGTTCATATGACGACGTACTAGATGTGGTAATGCTGTAGCTGCTTCATCTCTGATACTCACATCATCTCGGCAGCAACTGCAGCAGCAGTTGCCTGTTCAGATCTTGTCAAACTCGTACACAAATAACCCGCAAGTAGGAAACTGAAACTTAAAACGACTTGTGGAGATACACAAGTCCTCACCTGGCAACCAGTTCATAACGTCTCTATCTTGCAGTCGTTTTCGAATTATTTTGAACTTTCGTAATCAGTGTTCTCTGTGGATGATCTTTCTTCTCTCCAGATCGAAGGAGTGTTGTGGAAGCAGTATTTTCACTCCTGAGGCCTTCACTCATCTTCACTCCATTCTTTTGCTTCAGCTTCACATTATTCCAGACTAAGTATCTGAACTTTTCTCAAGGCTGAGGGACTGACCACCTCAAAACTATTTCTCAAAGGCTGATTGACTATTTACATCATGTTTACTTCCCTACTAAGTCTACTGACTCTTTGTTTGACTGAAGAAGCCTACTAAATAGGCGAAACTTTTCAGTCAACAATAAAGATACCCAGTTGTTGCACAGGTGTCTTACACTGCAACTTGTCGCTATTATATACTATTTTCAACATATTTTCAACACCGCACATATTGACAGCGATTGTTGTTCACGGAACCATGCATAAGAAATAATAATAAAATATTGGTCAGAATGGAAACCTTTGTTTAGTCTCACCAAAGGTTTGCATTATTCTATAGTGTCTTTTTTATCAGCTTGTCGATTTTACAACCTCTTCTCTGATTGTACATGAATGTTATATAATACCGACAATATAAAGAATTAGACAAGCGTACAACATCTAGGTATCTTTATTTGTAGACATTTCGCCATCCAGTGGCTTTATCAATACAAGGATATAACGTGAGGTGGAGCTATATACAAAAGATGAGGTAATCAGTCCCTCAGCCTTGGCTGAGGGACTGATTACCTGATTACCTAATATGTAATCAGTCCCTCAGCCTTGGCCGAGGGACTGATTACATATCATGCGAAATGTGGTGAGGTTAGGCCAGGTTAAGATAGGTTAGACTATCGTCCATCAATAAAAAGTAACTACTTATAACATACAACAACGCCAAAAATGAAGTAAGATATAAAAGATAAACAACAGTTGAGATGCGCAAACATACAACGAAGATCTATCATGGACACTAGAAATTGCAGTCAGATGTTTACTGCTGAAAGCTCGTTAAACAGTAATCCGCTTGACTGTCTTAGAATGCTTGCATACCTTCGTGTCTCGTTCTAAAACCTTTATGCCAATAACTTTTCTACCTCAGGTTCGCACTTCTCTTCCATTTTTTCCAGTGCTGATTCTTGGTCACGAGAGTCATCATACTTGTCTAGCTAGCTCTCTCACGCTATAAGAATGAAGTCCACCGAGTTCATTGGTGGCCGCCGTCTGCTTACCTGTAGTCAATTTCAGGCATCATCTCTTCTACCACAAGATCCCAGACCAAGACTCCCAGAGGCTTAGCTGATCGATCAGGCTGTTAGTATTAGTCGCCTGTATGCACAACTGCCTCTCTCAGTTACGTCAAGAAATATAAAGATGTTCTTGTTCTTGAACATAAATCATATATATATATATATATATATATATATATTTTATATATATATATATATATATATATATATATATATATATATATATGTCGTGCCGAATAGGCAGAACTTGCGATCTTGGCTTAAATAGCAACACTCATCTTGCCATATAGGACAAGTGAAAATTTGTGTATGCAATAATTTCGCCAAAATCATTCTGAGCCTAACGAAAAAAAATATATTTCACTGGGTTGGTTTAGTATTAAATTATTGTAAACAAATCTAAAATATACTTAGTTGGGTTAGGCTAAAAGAAATTGCTCTTGTTATAATAAGGTTAGGTAAGTTTTCTAAGATTCTTTTGGTGCAAAATTGTAAATTTTTACATTAACATCAATGAAAAAGATATATCTTTAAACGTATAAGAGGAAATTTTGGAAAGAACTTAATTTTAAATGAGTTCTTGCTAATTGACCAGTTTTACATATTCGGCACGACATATATAAAACAATAAATTCGTCTTAACTGGTCACTAAATATATCACAATAATTAATTAAAAGTCTAATAAATAAGTTATATCAGCATCATTACTACTGAAGACAGAATAACATAGTGTTATTTGTTTTCAGGCTGGAGATATTATAATAAAAAATAAGAGCTAAACCAGGTTTGAGGTAACTGAGCGTTGTCCATTCTCTAAGAAACCAATAACCTTCAGATTGTCGAGGTGAACTCCTTCAACAACACCTAGACAACATCCTACGTATAAGTAAAGAATTAGCTGTAGTTGATGCAGGAATTTGGGGCAAACTTATACGTATCTTAATTCACTCCTACCGGTAATGAAAATATGTTGATGCCCAGTGCCATAAGCAAGTGAAAGAGCGTGGTTAAGGTAGACGAGTGTAATGGACCATGAGCTGTTTGCCGTTCTCGAGTAAAAAAAAAAATCGACATCAAATCTGTATTATGGGAATTGAGTCCCAGATAATACAGATTAAAACAAAATAATTAAAAACATTAGTTGCATGGACAGTACATGAAGGGGGGGGGGGTGAAACTGAAAATCCACTTTCAAAATGTTGGTGATCTCACAGCAACTGAAGCCACGAATCATGCTTCATTTGTTCGTTTGAATTCGATTAATCTTTGTCTTGATTAAAAGAGCACTCAGTGGCCGCCATTCCGGATCTGTATATGACAAAAATTAGACCGCATTCCTGAAACTGACCAATGATGTGTCAGTGAAGATTGTTAATTTCCTTGCCAGAGTCAGCGACATTGATGAACAAGTATTTGGCAGGTGGTGTTTATACATCAAAATACCTAAAAACAATGTTTTAGGTCTTCACGTCAACAGGGACATGATCAAAGTGAGCGATCAAGGAAGACTATACATTTTTTATATACCACTCGCTACAGGAATCTAAGAAATAGTCACATAGCTACCGCTTTAAGTCAGGAGGAAACAATGAGTATGGCAGCAACAAATATTCATGATATAAAATCTAAAGTTTATGACATATCAATACCCGAAATAAACCATACTTTGGAAAATTATCTGAGCAAATCACCTGCAAGAGACTTACAGGGTATTACCTGAATTATTACCTGCAAGTAATTTGTGTGAGGTAAGTGAGATTTATTCATAATAGGTCAATGAACTGTGACTCCCTCGACTACCCACTTCTTCACTCTCATAAAAAGCTAGACCTGCCATTAAATTAATAATTATAATATTAAAGTTGTGTGGACTGCATAGGATTAGGCTTGTTGGGTATGCGAAATATAATTGGTATTAACACTTACCATTTAATTACTGTAGATGGATCACACCACAACACCTTCATAACACCTACACTGGCCAGCTAGTAATCTAAATGCAAGGACTAATGGTGCACTTCCCTGTGAGTGATCCGCCATTCACACGCAGTTCTTGAGGTCCCACAAATTTCCTATCCCAATTCTTCAGCAGGAACATTAACACGGCTTCCTATTGCAAATTCAGGCCGAAACACCCCAATTTGGCCTTGGAAGATGCTGGATTACATTGCACAATTAAGTCCAGTATTTACACAATAAATTCAATGTGGCATCTCCTCCCCGGCATCACTTAGTAGCTGTTCTCCACCCCCTCACTCGAAATTTCTTGAAAGGGTCAAATCAGTTTCACATTTTATTACACGATTATTATATTATTCAAATTTACCCATGCTGAATTTAGGAAAATCCAAAATTTTCTACATATACCACGGGTGGGGCTTGAACCCGTGGGAGAGTTGTAAAACTCCAGACGGACGCATTAGCCACTGGGCTAGCTGGCTACAATAAGATTCATCCAACTAGGTATAATTATACACCATAGGAAGGTTAGTATAGGCACCACTATGACCACAAATGCAAGTTTTTACAGACGAGCTTTACGACTCTCTACCGCGGGTTCAAGCCCCACCCGCGGTATGGTTTGTTTGCAATCGTGTCATTACGATTTCGCGAGTCAGTACGTTTTGCCCACCAGGGGCTCCTTCAGCCCAGTACAGAGATCAATAGACAGTGAGTTTATATAGTGCAGGAAGTTAGGTGATAGTCGCTGTCATGTAAGTTGAGAGGGTAATGGGCGAGGCTAAAATATGGCAGTGTTCCGCTAATGATAAAATACGTTGTGCTTGAATTTTGCATATGATGAATTCCGTGTATTCTGTGCTATTCCCTGCATTCTGTGCTATGGTACTCCCTGCATTCTGTGCTATGGTACTCCCTGCATTATGTGCTATGATACTCCCTGCATTCTGTGCTATGGTACTCCCTGCATTCTGTGCTATGGTACTCCCTGCATTCTGTGCTATGGTACTCCCTGCATTCTGTGCTATGGTACTCCCTGCATTCTGTGCTATGATACTCCCTGTATTCTGTGCTATGGTACTCCCTGCATTATGTGCTATGATACTCCCTGCATTCTGTGCTATGGTACTCCCTGCATTCTGTGCTATGGTACTCCCTGCATTCTGTGCTATGGTACTCCCTGCATTCTGTGCTATGGTACTCCCTGTATTCTGTGCTATGGTACTCCCTGTATTCTGTGCTATGGTACTCCCTGTATTCTGTGCTATGGTACTCCCTGTATTCTGTGCTATGGTACTCCCTGTATTCTGTGCTATGGTACTCCCTGCATTATGTGCTATGGTACTCCCTGTATTCTGTGCTATGGTACTCCCTGCATTCTGTGCTATGATACTCCCTGTATTCTGTGCTATGGTACTCCCTGTATTCTGTGTTATGGTACTCCCTGTATTCTGTGCTATGGTACTCCCTGCATTCTGTGCTATGGTACTCCCTGCATTCTGTGCTATGGTACTCCCTGTATTCTGTGCTATGGTACTCCCTGTTTTCTGTGCTATGGTACTCCCTGCATTCTGTGCTATGGTACTCCCTGCATTCTGTGCTATGGTATTCCCTGCATTCTGTGCTATGGTACTCCCTGTATTCTGTACTATGATATTCCCTGTATTCTGTGCTATGGTATTCCCTGTATTCTGTGCTATGGTACTCCCTGTATTCTGTGCTATGGTATTCCCTGTATTCTGTGCTATTGTACTACCTGTATTCTGTGTTACTGGTAGCGATAAGTGTTGATTCTAAACACTGTGTTGCTACGCTTGGACTCCCTCATCGGCATTCTTAAAGTCCACAAGCATTGTGATGACACAAGTATAATAATAATAATAATAATAATAATAATAATAATAATAATAATAAAATTTATTTTCTGCAGTAGTTGTGTGATACCTCTTGAGATTCTCCGACGTTAATTTCAACAAGACCTACGTGGTGGGTCACGCTATATCATTGTATATCAATACGAAGAATGAATCTCATGAACCGGCTCATGTTCTCAGCAGTCTTGTCATTTTGCCGATGCATGCATGATGCCTTACTTCCTTCCCTGCAACAGGTTTATGATCTGTTAAGTGATCTTATCAACTTGGTGTTTGATAATGCTGATATCGGCATTTGTATCTGAACAGGCTTAAGTACGTTGCATACCAAGGGGGGAGCGGGGGGTGGGGTGACGATGCAAGCGAAGGACCTAGAGAATCAAGGAACTGGTGTTACATTTCCATTCCTTGGATCAAGGTTTGATTACCTCGTATTTTTAAGGATTTCAATACGACTAATCAGGGTTTAGCACTTCCTCGAGAATAAAGTATTACGTAAGCAAGCCAGTGGTCGCTCTACCGTGAGGTATCATTTAACAACTATAGGTGTTCTGTGGCTTGGATGATATCGCGCTCGGCTCACATACCAAGTGTCCGTGGTTCGGTTCTCGGCCGGGTTGAAACGTTGGGCATGTTTCCTTACACTTGCTGCCCTTGTTCATCTAGCAGTAAGTAGGTACCCGGGTGTTAGTCGATATTACGCATTGTATTGTAAAATATATGTATAAAAAACGCCCCATACATATAATGTCAGTTTACGGGATTTGTTCTTAAACCAGACGCGTATTAGTCGTGAAGAGTAAGGAAAGGTGTGTTTTTTGAGTCAGTATGAGAATAGTGGCGGCTGGAGAAACACTTCTCGGTTTGGTGTTTGTGGAATAGTTTAGGCCATAGGTTATTTTATTGGTTTTGGTGCTCTCGTGTATATATGTAAGGCCCTAGACTGAGGATAGGCCTGTTTAAGTTTTGGGGAGAGTACTCTTGTAATGTTTTGCCTGCAGGCTAAGAGGCCGGCAGAAGGGTGGGGGGTCATGGAGTCTCCCTGTTTATAAGTGTTTATGTTTTATAACCACTAGTAGCAGTGTGCTAATGTGAGAACTGAGTAAAGGTGTAATGGTGTTTGGTGACTTTGTATGCAGAGTAGCTTGTACGTCGTATACGTTAATTTACTATTAATATATATATATATATATGTCGTGCCGAATAGGCAGAATCTGCGATCTTGGCTTAAATATCAAAGCTCATCTTGCCATATAGGGCAAGTGAAAATTTGTGTATGCAATAATTTCGCCAAAATCATTCTGAACCTAGCGAGAAAAATATATTTGATTGTGTTTGTTTAGTATTAAATTATTGTAAACGTATTTAAAATATATTTAGTTGGGTTAGGCTAAAATAAATTGCTCTTGTTATAATAAGGTTAGGTAAGTTTTCTAAGATTCTTTTGGTGCAAAATCAAAATTTTTTATATTAATATTAATGAAAATAATATATCTTTAAACGTATAAGAGAAAATTCCAGAAAGGACTTAATTTTAAATGAGTTCTTGCTAATTGACCAGTTTTACATATTCGGCACATTATTATATATATATATACATATGTATATATATTATATATATATATATATATATATTATATATTATATATATATATATATATATATATATATATATATATATATATATATAGGTGAGTTTTTGTGCCCTTCCTCCTAGTTAATATAAATATTGACTATTTACTTAGTAATTTGTATGAAGGAATAAGCTTGGCCCTAGGTTGGTTTATGTGGTTTATGCCCCTAGACTAGGCAGGTTGTGACCCCTATGAGCCAGGACATTTATTTACGTAACGCAGTAAAAGGCGGAACAGTCGACTGCTCTGGGTAGTATCCTGGGGGTGGCAGTATACCTTAGATAATGCTGAGTTTGAAATAAACTGAGGTAGGATAACAGCTCTTAGCAAGTAAAATTGATCTGTGTAGAAAAAAAAGCCTATTAAGGTTATTCAGATTCACTGAGAACAACAACATTTCATGGAAAACTGTCTGACCCGAAGAGACGCTGCTGCAACTAGCCTCTCCACTCACATGACCCAGCAATATAATCATCTTTTTGCTTGCTTGTTTCATAATGGAAATGTTAACTCTTTTTTTTTTGTGAGAATTAATTAGGGAACAAAATTCACCAATGCTTTTCCTTCTGGGTTAGTGTATGACCTTGTCTGCGCGTGTAATGTGTTTCTGCGCTGTTACTAATGAAGACGTTCCCCGCAGGTCTCAACTTGTGGTTCTGATCATTATCGCCATTTTCATCTGGTGCTACAAGTTTGACAACATTGTTCCACTCGCTACGAAACAAGTCTGGCTGGCATACTCAGACAGCCATTCTCACTTTTCAAACATCTTACCCTCATCTCCAGAGGAACCCTCATCAGTGACAATGAACGGGAGTACCGGGTTTGCTGCGGAAGAGGCCGAGACAATAGATCTCACGAAAATGACTCAATTGCCTCAGAAATGCGATTGCAAAATGAAAATGAGGAGGAGCCACTCACACACAGTACAGCAGCTGGACTTGGCGTTACCTCTGTTCAACTTAAGTACTAAGGAATATTTGATTAAACGTCACCCGAACTTGCCTGTGGATTTCTTACACAAGGTGAATAAGGAAGGAAGCTGCAGCCTCTTACCTTCACTTTTCAGGTATGTGATTGTATGTGCATAAATATTAGACGATAGGAAGGAGGCTGTGTTAAGACAAATTATTTCACGGATTTAAGCCAGAAATCGCGCTCTTCTTTATTTAGAGTTTTAGTAAACAAGAAGAGTAAAACACACACTTCTTGGCTGAATAAAAACTTGTAAATGCATGTACACATTCAATAAGAAATAATAATCACATTATTGCACATTACTGGAGTACCGTCTGATAATAAGTTCACCAACCTGTATGTAAGTTAACCAAACCAGACTTGATAATCATTCAAAGTTCATCTCTAATCGTATAAAAGATAAATCATACAAAATTCTTAAGATGCGAATAAGTATCAAGATGAACAACTCATTAGACTACGATCAAGAGTTCACACAGTTCATTTATGTGTGGATACCATCCAGTCAAAGACTAAATCCACAAAATGCAGCGAGAAGACATCAACAAGGCAATCAGAAACTAAGTTTATTCAATCATTGCATATTATGAGCTGACTGAGGCATCAAAGCTGGGTGTAAATACAGTCTACCCACTATTAAGTGTGCAGAAGTCAATACACATGAGGCTGTATACTCGTACACTTTTCAAGGCTCTCAGAAAACAGTCTACATTCTGGTCATAAGTTACAGACACAAGACGATGCAGGAAGTGCTGCATTCTGGTGGCAAGAGGAAAAATATTTCAGTTACTCACGAAATCGTAATAACACAATAGCAAACAAACCAGGGTACGGGTGGGGTTAGAACTCATGGCAAGTGAGTCGTAAGTCTCCAGACCAGTGTGTAAGCCACTGGACCAGCTGGCTGCCATAAAATTCATCTGTAATAACTTGCATTTGTGGTCACAGTGGTTAACGTCCCTATGGTTTATAAATATACCTGTTTGGATGAATCTTTTTGTAGCCAACTGGCCCAGTAGCTAACGTACTGGCCTGGAGTTTTATGACTCACTTGCCATGGCTTCTAACCCCACCCGTACTGTGTTTTAAAAATATTGCCATACCGACAACCATCAGGTATTCCCACACCGCCTATTTACAAGACGTATTCGTGTTTTATACCATAAATAACGAGAGATGTATAATAACACTGCCTTTCGCTCAATGCATATTTAATTTTTATTTCTGTTTTCTCTTTCTTGCTTAATAATAATAAATGCTGGAATGAACCTGATACATTACAAAAGTTGTATGAATAAATTACATAGTATTTTTTACCAAACAGAAATATATCAGTAAAGACCGATTTTTTCTTAGCATTCGGGTTTTAATATACTTAAAAAAGAAGTTTAACGATACTAGAATTGTTATTATGAAAGAAAAACGAGTCAGGAATACGTTTAAACCTTGATTTGCCTTCCCAGTTGTTGCTTGCGGTACATCCCAACATTACTTGTATTCTCGTGTACCAGCCAAATTGGCAGTAAGGTTGGTGCAGCCGCAAAGGGCCTCCCTGCTACTTTGGCGATAAGGAACCATTTAGGTGAGAATTTGACTCCAGACGAGTTGATGTTACATTTTCTCACGTGGCTGGGAGCAGACTGTCACTGAGACTGGCTGAGTACACACATACTGGACTCTTGTATAAGGTGAAATAGAGTCTAATGATCTGCACACCTAGTTGTAGCATGATAACCACGCAGGAGTGGACAAAAAGGCAGTAGAGTAAATACTTACATTTTCTTCTCCAAATAATAATCAGGTATGTACATTATATAAAGCAGATATGTACAATACGGCAAATGCAAGCAAGAGACACGGTGAGAACCGTTGCGACCAGACTAGGAGGTAAATCTGCCAAAGTTGATTCACAAGTGTACCACATTGCTTCACAATTTTGATGGGCTTCCTTGTGATTGACTGGTTGAACCAAGGTATACCCTTAGCACCTGGTTCACTGGTCCAGAAGACATACACCGAATAAAATGTAAGACTCTTAGCATGCCACACAGTACTGTGGAACCTCAAATATCGAACTTAATCCGTTCCAGGAGTTAGTTCCAAATTCGAAAAGTCTGAAAAGCGAAGCAATATTTCCCATTAGAAATAATGGAAATACAATTAATCCGTTCCAGAAACCCAAAAATATCCACAAAAAATACATTTTATAGAGATTATAGTTTTACATACACACAACAAATACTATAATGTTCAATTATGTATTAATAAATTTAAATAAACATATAAAATAACATTTTTACTTACCTTTATTGAAGATTGGTGATGGCATCTGGAAGATAGGGAGGAGGAGAGAGGAAGTTGGGGTTATTGTTTGGAAGGAGAATCCCCCTCCATGAGGACTTCGGGTATCAAAGCCTTCTGTGGGGTTACTTCCCTTCTCTGTATTTTAATGCCACTAGGACTAGCTTGAGTCACTGGACCCCTGTCTCACAAAATAACTGTCTACAGTCCTCTGTTTCTGTCTCACAAAATAACTGTCTACAGTCCTCTGTTTCTGTCTCACAAAATAACTCTCTACAGTCCTCTGTTTCTGTCTCACAAAATAACTGTCTACAGTCCTCTGTTTCTGTCTCACAAAATAACTGTCCACAGTCCTCTGTTTCTGTCTTACAAAATAACTGTCCACAGTCCTATGTTTCTGTCTCACAAAATAACTCTACAGTCCTCTGTTTCTGTCTCACAAAATAACTGTCCACAGTAGTCTGTTTCTCTCTCACAAAATAACTGTTCACAGTCCTCTGTACATTCTGGCAAGCTCAACAAGTCTCACACTACTCTCATACTTCTGTATTATTTCCTTCTTCACGTCTATGGTGTTTCTCACTTTCTTTACCACAGGGGTACCACTAGCAGGTTTCTTTGGGCCCATTTCACAGTCCCACAAGCACTAAACACAATGAAATAATCGTAAAATGTTTGAATGAGAGCATAGGTTAGTGTTCACTCAGGCATCAACAAAACCAGACTGGCTCATGACGCCTGCGTGGGGATGCAGACAGAGCGGGCTGCCGGACAGGTCCGGTACCCGGTGGTTCGAAAATAGGGGCGAGTTCGATAATAGGGACAAAGTTGGTTTGAAAAAAGCATTCTATTCTCGAAAAGTTCAGTAAGTGATACGTTCGAAATTTGAGGTTCCATTGCATATAGTTCTCATCTTGATGTACTAGGGACTACACTAGTATAAGATCCCAGTATTTAAGTGATAGTTATTTAAATTCTGGTGGAGACTTCAGAGATTCTTCTATAGAAGATCACAAGGTTAATCAATAACTTCATAGCTGGTCTGATTCCAACAAAATTTAACAGTTCTTCTTTGGTGCATCCCTTTGTGCCCTGAAAAAGAAAGAGGAATTTGGCCCTTTGTGCCCTGAAAAAGAAAGAGGAATTTGGCAACACATTTTGCTGCCTTGTTATCAGAGCAGTTGTCAGAAGTCTTCATACAGAGGCAGTCATAATCCTTGATTGCAAGTGCACTCAGCTCACACACTAAGGGCTGTGGTTTGATCTCCAGTACGAGTGGAAACGTTAGGTTAAAACATCTGCTGTCCCTGTTCACCTAGCAGTAAAATAGGTACCTGGGTATTAGTCGACTGGTGTGGGTCGCATTCTGGGGATAAAATTGACTTAATTTGCACGAAATGCAGAGCATTTCGGGCAAATTAGTAACATTAATAGTTTTCTGTTTAGTAGCATCACGGAGATGGGGCTTGTAAGTCCCATCTCTGCGAATATACTGTAATTTTGTCAACATCGATGGGCTGGACACATCGACGCAAGGCTGATAGACTGATTACCTCAAACTCCTCTTCTTCCACCTTTTTCTGCATTGGACTGAAGAAGCAACTGAGTGGCGAAACGTTTCCAGAATAAAGATACCCAAATATGTCAAAAGTGTCTCATTTATCAGGGCTTATATAGCCTCTTATACCATGGGTGTCTCTATAAGTGAGGGTGGTGACAGTCTTATATTTTTGCGAGTGATCACGTAACCACTGATCACTCTGGATCAGAGTCAGTCTGCCTCGTCACGCACAAATCTATACTACTTTCTTGTTGCTCATGTATATTTACATATCTAAGCTTTGACTTAGATATGAATTTTGTGTCATCTTTAATTCGTGTTATTTATATTTTTTTCTGTCAATTTTTCTAAAAATATGAATTAGATCTACAAAATGATGAGGATTTATTTCCATTCACAAGGAAAATAGAAGAAGAACCAGCAGTCTAGAGGCCCTTGACGCCATCTACCTTCTCATGAGCAAGTCCTCGAGTCTGCCCAGTGTTATGCATTTCCTGTTATACACACTGTCACATTATAACCCTAAACTTAGGGAATACGACAGTATTCAAATGAAAATATTCATGAAATTACTAACGTATTCATAACACTCAGCACTTCCTGCTTTCCTGACTTCTTGTTTTGCGGTGAATGGTACAGCGCTGGGTCTGCATGGACCACGGTTCAAGTCCTCTTCCATTCTTTTGTTAAGTGTCAGGGGCCCGAGACTGTTCAACTGCCTCCCAGCATACATAAGGGGGATTACCAACAGACCCCTGGCAGTCTTCAAGCTGGCACTGGACAAGCACCTAAAGTCGGTTCCTGACCAGCCGGGCTGTGGCTCGTACGTTGGTTTGCGTGCAGCCAGCAGTAACAGCCTGGTTGATCAGGCTCTGATCCACCAGGAGGCCTGGTCACAGACCGGGCCGCGGGGGCGTTGACCCCCGGAACTCTCTCCAGGTAAACTCCAGGTATTAACTGGTTCATTACAACTTACCTTGGGTATATGTAATGTATTTGTGTGTGTGTGTGTTTTACCTATTTGTGGTTGCAGGGATTAATTCACAGTTCCTGGCCACTCATCTTCACTGTCACCACTAGGTCTACTCTCTCCCTGCTCCTTGAGCTTTATCATATCTTCCCTTAAAGCTATGTATGGTTCCTGCCCCCACTACATCACTCGGCAGCTTATTGCACTTCCTGACAACTCTATGGCTGAAGAAAAACTTCCTAACATCCCTGTGACTCGT